TTGACGCATCTATACTCTAGGTTACAGTTAGATGCAGCGTGGCCAAAACGCTGACAGCGTTTGCATTGCAGTATTCCTTTTTTTTTAAGGTTCTCCCACGAAACTGAGTGTTTTAATAAATACCTCAAGTTCCTCAATGAGCTGGTATCACTGTCCGCTGAAAATTGCACCAGATAAAAGGGCAAAACTCTCTTGTCTCGAATTGATTTTGCCGTAGCAAATCAACTGACCTTTACAATTTTTAGGTTAGGGATATTTTTTGAACCTAATTCCTCCTTTACGTCATCTTCACTGATGGTAGATGGGGGGAGACCCTTTAATAGAAAGTTTATGTGTTTCTTCTCCTTTGGAGTGAACGAAAAGTATTTAGTGTTAGCACTGTTCAACGAATCTTTAACACGCTTAAAGTCACCACTGTTTTTTACTTGGATAATGTGCTTGACATTGTTTATGCGTTTAATATGGAAATCCGCACCCTTTGCTGTTTCATTCAATAAGGTCATTGAGTCTTTAGAATCTTGATGGTGCACAACTATAGGGGGTGGACGCCGGCTACCATTGGAACTATTGTTTTTTGTTGGTTCACTCATTCCACTCACGTTGGTGGGACCAGGGATTTTCTTCTGCACCGCTTTTTCATTCCCCTCGCTGGAAACAACAGTTTTCATTGGTTGGGCAACACTGTCTTCTCTATTTCTATCTGAACGAACGCGGGCCTTGCGGGCGTCGCTTCCGTCGTCTGCATTATCTAGTTTTCTTTTATAACTAGCATTTTTCTTTTTTAGCTTCTCCGCTATATTTTCTTCGTCCCCTGCAGTTAGGTCAATCTCCATGTTTACTTCGTTCGAATCGCCACTAGACTGCGCTGGCGGCAAATTATTTTTTGATTCAAGGAGAGCCTTTAATGTCTGGACTTCTTTTCTAAGCTTCTCTTTTTCAAGGAGGAGCTTCTCTCTCGCACAGCTTGATAACTCACCATCACTGTGTTTCTTTTTGGGCGCCATCTTGACTGGACTATGCGGCAAGCTTGGCTTTGCTATCACTATGCTTTTCTTCCTTTTGATGCTTAGCCTTTTAACCAAAGCAGCTGCAGCTTCGTTAATTTTTCTTTCCTTGTATAAACGACCTTCGACGAACTTTCGCAGCTCATGCCGATTCTTGGACCAAGGTTCCTCCGTGCCGATTACACGCGGCGAAGTTATATCTTCATTTTTCTTATCAGGAGTTACCCCGACTTGATTTGTTACTTCTGCATCCACTTTCCTTATTTTTGGAATGTAGGAAGAAGAAAAAAAGAAAGTTAACTAAAAAAACACAAAAACACACTATCGATGAAGTGCTAACAATGAACGCTTTATTGCATATCACTGTATCACTAATATGGGGAGCCACACGTCCGCACGCTATGACGACCGCAGGCTAACTGTACCCATTAAGCGTTTCTACAGATAATTTATTACGAGTTTTTGTTTTAATTAAATAATTTTACTAAAAATACGCTCACAATCTGCGTTTGACAACGGTAGTGACATTATACTTAAAAAAAAACTAGCTAGATTTTTAAAAGAATAAATTTCGTCTGTATCTTCAAATTTTTTTAATTTGTGCCAAAGTGCATCTACAGGGTCGGTGACTTTAATATTTTCTGGTAAAACAAAAATTTGGTAGCTGTCGCCACTCATCGTCGATTGATTGGTAACATTCTTTAGGGACAAGTCGAGGTAGTTGTCGCATTACTGGTAATAAAGAAGGTGTTATATTTCGTGTAAATTGAGCAACAGCTTCTTCAGGATTAATAATAGATAAATTTTTTAATAGAACGTTCTCGAAATCATACCTTTTCTTTATTGCTAAGCAGCCTTTTACGAAAAAATTTCTACAATTAGTAAGAAATTCGATTTGTACTTCTTTTCGTGGAGATGTCGAGTACTCAGGCTTGTTAAAAAAATCAATTAAATATACTCCCGTGTAAACATTCAGAATATTTATATATTTCGATTCATCGGCCGGATTAATCAAACTTAACGGTGTTGTATTAACGTAATCCGGGACCATAAAATTTTTAAGTCATTCTGTATATATAGAACTCATTTTTTTATAAACGACTGTAATTAATGATTTCTCGGATTGAAAAAGTTTGTTTAAAGTTGTGAATTTTTGTAAAATCCATTCAAGAAAATGATAATATAATTTTGTAATAGGGTTATTAAGATTTTGAAGTATAAATTCTTCTATTTCAAAATTTAAAGCCGAAGAAGTTTTTGTTTTTCGTGAATTAGATCTTTTTCTTTCTATATCATAAACAATTTTATTAAAATATAAAGTTAACGCGTCCCACTGCTCTAGAAGCCTGGTAATTACAACCGTTACTGAAAGCCATCGAGTCTCCACTGGACACAAAATTTTATGATTTTTCAGCTCTAAAAATTGTTGATATTGCTTAAATTCATGCTGTCGCTTAGAACTTGATGAAAAGTGATTATAAATTGAATGAAATAATTTTTCACAATCAGACGGTATTGCGTCACAAGCTTCACTGGCACAAAGGTGAAGTGAATGACAAATACATGTCATGATGTAAATGTTAGGACAACTATCTTCAAATCTTGTTCTTACTGAATTATGTTTACCCATCATCGCATTACAACTGTCTGACCCGAAACCAATAATTTTATCAAAAGATACAGAAAAACGTTGAAAAGATTCCCGGACACAATTAAAAGATGCTCTGCTGTAGCAGATACTTCTCTAGAATAATCATTAAAAATTCTACATAACTCCCAAAAATGACTAACTATTTTTCCTGGAGATTCATCGTAATACCGTACGATAATGCACAATGTTTGAGTCATTGAAATGTCAGTTGACTCATCTATCAATACACTAAAAGGAGTTTTTTGTAATTTACTAGCTATTTCTTCTTTTTCAGCAAATCCGATTGCGTTTTTAATAACACACGCGCTTTTAGAAGATGTTAATCGGACTTGCTCTATATGTCACTATCAGGAAAACACTCCTGGAGTAACGGTGTTAGGTGATCCATAATCTTAAAAGATACATTGTGTTCTGCAAAAAAACTACACAATTTAATTTCTGCACGGGAAACTTTACGATTCATTGAATCATTTCGAACTTCATTTGAAGCTTTTTCTATAAAATTAGACATTTTCGTTTGTTTATTTAAACCTTTTAACATTATTAAATAAGACTTATTAGTCGCATGTTTGCGAATAACCGATAACTCCGCATTGATTGTTGCTTTGCAGAGTGAGCATTGAGCTTTTAATTTATCAGAATGAGGCCGGAGCCACGAACAAAAATCCAGATTATTAGGCCACTCCTTACGGAACTTTTGTGGCCGCCGTGTGCTTTGTTTTTTTAATTGCGTAAGAGATGTGTTATCTGTCATTGTAAATATAATCAATAAAAAATGCAAAAGAAATAAAAACTTGAATAATTAAAGAAGAAGTGTTACAAAATATGCTTCCAAATTAATTTAAAAAATATGTTTAAAAATCAATAACTCTTCTCTTCTAGCAGCAAAACTCAAACGTTCGTTATTACCTTAAGGAATAAATTTTTAGCTCAAAATAAAACATGTTTAATTGAATACATAAAATGATCACGTTATATTTTTTACTATGAACTTCATTAGATAATGTTACAACAGTAATAATCTGCATAACATAATTAACTTATAGCGTTAAATGACTGAATAAATAGACTAATAATTAAATTGTTGAAAAAAATTATAAGACTATATTCAATTTTGAGGATATGTTTATCCTTTAAAAAATACCTAGATTAATAATTATCAAATATTTACTTGGTCAATTTTTAACATACTTTTTTTGTGCGATCTTTCGTGATGTTACTATATGTTTACATAGATTTTGTAGACTTACTGTAATTATAGTAGATTCTGTAGCGGCTATTTTATCTATCCTATCTGTCCTATCTATCCTATCTGTCCTATCTGTTCAATCAGTTGTAAATGTTAAAGTCGCCCATTTCTAAATGTTAAGACTAAAATGACAGAATAAATAGAATACTAATAAAATAGTTGAAAAAAATTCAAAGACTTAATAGAATTTTGAGAATATGTTTATCCTTTAAAAATTACCTGGATTAATAATTTTAAAATATTTACCTGTAAAATTAGTAAAACTTTTTTGTCGTGTGATCTTCTGTGACGTCCTAATGTTGCTAATATGTGAATAAATGGAGAAGCTATAAAAGTAAAAACTGAGAAAAAGCAAAACTGGAAAAAAGTTAAACGTAAAAGTAGAAACTGTAGAAAGTAATGCTTGGAAGTTTTCTGTGGTATTGCTGGTATGCAAATGGTGCTATGCTGCTCTGTCAGTGATCCCAGGGACTTTAGTTCGTTTGATCGACACAGGGGCGCAAAATTATCGTACGAATGAGATCGCTGTCAGCTCTGTAGCAATTTTTCCAACAGTTTATTCAGTTTTCTTCTGTTCTCTTGCTTCTTTTCTTCATTTTCTTCTGTCTTCTTGCTTCTTAGCTTGTTTTCTTTATATTGTCATGTATCTTCATGTATCTTCATATATCGTCATATATCCTCATATTTTTTTCGTTTCTTCTTTATTGTACGTTGTTCATATTTTCAACTTTTGTTTGACCGTAAACCGTTGAAGCGACTCGTGTGCAAAATTCGATGAGTAAAAAAAATAAGGTCTTCAACTTTCAGACTTAGACTCATGTGTTCTGTTGGACTGTAGTAGTTTGTTGTATGTGTGACTGGCTTAGTCTCACAGGTGTACTGTGTGACGTGTGGCAGTAGTCGGGTGGGGGAACACGTGTGGGGGAATGGGGGAACTGTGGTGGTGAAGTGGGGGGCGCTTGACACTGAGCAAGCGAGCGAACCAAACAAATAACTACATATCGATTAATATCGAATTATCATAAAATCGAAAATTATAGTACGGGCTGAATTTTGGATCGTACAAGGCTTCAAATTATCGTACGAATGGGATCACTTGGGATCACTGATAATCGAGTTAGATTGGGGGATTTCAACTGTTCGTTGAAAAACGCAGTGCCGTAAATAGCAAGTACTTCTAAGGTTCTCTTATATTTTTTTTTCTTTTTTTTTCTTGAAGTAAAAACTGCTTTAGAATGGGGATTATTTGAAAAAATGTAACTCTACGGCATAACAAAAACGGGTCAAAACGAAAGTAAGAAGAGAAAAAGAGCCAAATATATAGGATTAAGCCGGCGAGAGAGTGAGACAGAACATAGCTATACAGTATTTTCCTATTCTCGGTCTCCTCTTTATGCTATGCTCCGTAGTTATCGCTCCTGGTTGTATATGTGTGTGTATGTGTGCGACTGTATACTACAAAAAGTGGACAAATATTACTTCGATACTCGAAATGTTTGTAGAAAGGAGCGATAGAAGGGTAGAAGAATAAACAGAGATAAGCACGTAGGTATTCGACCAAGGTATAAGGTCAAAACAAACCGACGGTTAAAATAAAAAAAGAAGGTGCGTGGTCTGTTTCTTTTTTTTATTTTACCAAACATGTCATTTCTTTTCTATTTTAATTGTTTCTCTTTTATTGAAGAATTAATAGTCCAGTCCAAATAGCTCTGAAATCAAAATATGCACCAACTGCGTCTGGATGGTTGCTTTTTTTGACATTTTATGTTTTTTGGCTTAAGGAATCGATTTCTGAAATCCGTTTTAAGTTAGGTGTTTAAAAAGTTAAAAAATTGCGTGTTTTTTGCAAATATCTAGGAAACTGCTAGTCAAAACTAAAAAATAACTATACCAGCGGGTAGAGCATAAAATTTTACATAAAGTTTACTCGTTTGTTAATTTTTTTCACCTTTGCAATGTATTGTTTAATTAAGATTACTTTTAAATGCTGCTATTGTATATATCTATGTACATTATGGCGCCACATATTATCAAAATATTCTCCTCTCGAATATTTTTTTTTTGCAAATTGTCGGGGACTGGGTTTACCTACTGTTGTTACTCATTACAAGTTTTAGATGCACTTTCTTCATTATTAATGAAGTAAATCAATGCGGCAATGTGTTTACATTTTTTACTTTTATTATAAACACAATTGCATTGCACGTCAGGCACACATCGAGCTGCACTTATCTAAAATACAAGAAATAAGGCAATATTCATTATTTGATCTTCAAAATTAATATTAAAAGAATAAATTATCTAATTGTTATTTACGTTTAAAGAAGTTGAGTAAGTTGTTGCAGCGACTGATGCTTGTCGACTAACTCGTGACTTTATTAAATAACTTGCGGTTTTCCGACGATGCTCTTCAACATCCTAGGCATGTTCTGCAAGGACAAGATTTTTACCTTTGATGTTAGTTTGCGGTTAAAATTTGATGGTATGACTAATTGCTTAGAAATCTGTTCTAATAATTATGTCCATGGTTGCTTTAAATCTGAATGTTTAATATGTATATATATATATATTTATTCTTTTGATAACAATGTCACATCGTGCTTTATCTACTTGCCAATATTATTTGAAGTTTGATCTACTGTGGCTATATTCAAATTTTTTGTTTACTACAGTAAACGCTAAAGCTTTTATACTTTTTTTAAGTTGTTAATTATACTTAAATTTTAGCGGTAATTTTTTCATCATAATTGCACAAGATTGAAATTTATTTGTCACGTGGTTTGACATGCAAAAAAAAATTTGTTTGATAACCAAAATTAATTGTTATTGCAAAGCCCTATACGTTTAAGATATTAAAAAATCAGCAGCAGCGTCCTTTGGTTCATAGATTTCATGGCGATGCAATCACGCACGGAGTAGAGACCCTGTAGGAGGGACGCGCCATGTGGATTACAAGGCTGAAAATGTGGAAGTACAGCTGGTAAAAATTTTATCCCGATCGGTTCTATAGTCTTTTGTGAATGCTTCTCCAAAATTTCAAAAACGTAGTTTTAAGTAAAGCGCGTTTAAAGTTTTAAGAACAGATTTATTATAAAAAAATTATACTTACATTATTCTGCTATGCCTGGTGCATACATTAGTCCTCCAGGGTTTGCTTCTGTAGTTTTCTCCGCTCTCAAAATACGAGCATTATCAACGGTATCGACGTCATTTCTGGCTCTTTGACCAATGTATTTCACGTATTTCACACCATAACGCTCCTCAGAACGCTTAAACATTTCAGAAACACTGTCGACCTCCATTTTGCCACTGTTACACACGTGATTTGCTGTGCATTCATTTTTGTGATCTTCAGATAAACTCTCAGGTTCGATTAGGTTTTATGTTGCTGAATACTGACATCCTTTACATATGCTTGATTTGACTATCATACCAATTATTTTATTGAAAAATTTGCTTATTAACGACACAATACCTAACAGAGAGTAAATGGAGGCAACAAAATAGAGAGCGTTCTGAGTTATACACACTACGGCGTGCTCCCTACTTTCGGCTATAACTTTGAGAATACTTTGAATTTCAGTCTGAAATTTTCGGAGCATATTTTTGAAATATTTTTCTTATGAAAAATGTAAAAAAAAAAAATCGATTTTTTTAAACCGACACTGAAGGGGTACTACCTTAAACGCGATGGAATTGATTGAAAGAAAAATTTCTTTTACTAATAACGTTTTTATATTATTAAAGTAAAAAAAAAACCATTTATTATACTGTGGTATTTACCTTACAACAAGTTAATTAAAAATTGTAAAAATGAATATCTTATATTTCATTTTCGTTGCCGTTATTTTTTACCACATTAAAATGTTCACTAGTTGTATCATTTTCTTGAGTGTTATTTGTTATATTGCTGTTTAATTCGTCAAATTCATAATCACTGATACCCTCATCTTCAAAATCATTAGCAATTTTATTTGTTGTATTTTCACAACTTTTACCGTTGCAATTTTTGCACGTCCTGGAACATTTCAATCCAGCCTTTTTACATGTACAACGAGCCGTATTACAGTAAGCCTGACATCTACAAAATACCTGCAATATATAAATATATGATTTGTCCATAAATAAACATTTAAATAAATCTTTAATGCATAATCATATGTATCTTCATGTACCTTAAATAATATAAATTAAAAGTTGTCTATTATTTAAAATAATAACTGTGTATTCAACTGATAAAATTACACCCATTACACCAACGTTTAAAGGTAGTCACCCTGGGGGCAATCGGAGTCAAAGAAAATCTAGCACATATCGCAGACATAACCTTCAGCTGAGTTGCACCCAGTGCAGTTCGAGTGAGCCTATAGCCCACATGAGGTGCATCTAAACAACATCTCGTTGATTTCTCCAACATCGTCGCATACCAGGAATCTGTTTTTTGCATCTTTTGTGTCTTCATCCTCATCAGCCTTTGCATAAGTCGTTAGTACCAACATCTGTTACAGAAGTTTCGCTTGTTTCGTGTAGTACTTGGTGCTTCGCCTTTTCAGGACCCTTCCTCTGTATTGTAGTCTTTTTTTCCTGACCTCTACCTTTCCATCTCTTTTCTTTTTCTTTACCCTCTGTTTTTTTCTTTTTCTTATTTTCTTTTTTTCTTTTTTTCTTTTTTTCTTTTTTTATTAGGTCTTCTTTGATTGGCATTGAAGTTAAAATTGTAGCGTGTTGCTTCTTTCGGTCCTTTCTTGTATTTATAATAGGTGTTTTCTCTGGCAACTTGATTAAATCATGCAAATTAGCACTAATTTGGTTTGACGGGCCAGGAACTGGTGATACAATATCTGGTTCAGAACCAAGTGGGCCTACTTGTTTAGACATTCTAAGAACCGGTGAATCTATTTGTTTTGTTTTGTTTTGCTTACCCTATACTTGCGGGTAATGGGAGTCACCTGATTCTCATTTCCCACAATTACACTAATGAGTAAAAGAATAAAATAAAAAAAATCTTTAAAACACTGACATAATCTGAACTGCACATCACAATTTCGAACGTCT